AGATATCGTTGTGTCGATGGATATAATAAACCAATTAAATTGACAAATATATCAATGAATATACGAATTAATCGTTTGGTATAATAATTAAAGTCAACCATTATTTCTTATATGCCATAAACTCCACCCAATTCTTTATCGTTAAACAAAAGTGTGAAAATGTTTTTTAACTAACAGTAAAACTACTTGTCATTACATGAAATCATAATTTCATATCTCATACATGTATGATATAATTTATATCATATAACAGTGTAAAATAGCACTCATTTGTTTGACAAATGACGGCAACATTTTTTGTTATTAATTTTGTCAATCGTTATGATTGTATAGATTTAGATATCCTTTAATATTTAATATTTATCAAAGGAAAATAAAACTTTTATCGATAATTATCACTTATGTTCACAAAACATTGTAAATAAATAATATAATTTTATTTCGGATAATATTTCTTTAGACACATTTTTGTGTTACTATAAGGAAAGTGTTTTTAGTATTAATATTTTATTACAATTAAATATTAAACATTTAAATTCATATTGAAATAATTACTGAAATATTACTAACTGGTTGGTAGAATTTAATTAAATAAATTCATCAAATATAATGACACCGTTATAAAAACTTATGATATTAATTTATCATTTAGAATCATACAGAATTTTCGTCTCATTACTTAATCATTAATTAAAGTAAAATATTTGTGATATGAATTAATTATAATTTTATGTTGATTTTAAAAATACTGTATTTATGAGATGTTTGAGTCAACATTTTAATTTTATGTTTTAATATAAACTTATTGTAATTTTTTTTGTCTTTTAATTAAATAAAATTAAAAGTTTATTATTTGACACCTTTTTGTAACTTTATAATACAACAAAATGTTGTGTAAAATTCTATTTTTATTAAAACACAATTTAATTAAAAATTTCAATATTATTATTAAGCCCTATAATATAGTTTACGGCAGTAATTAATGTTAAATATTGCCATTAGAATACATTAGTATTTAATTCAATTATCAAAATGATGGTAGAAATATAAACTCTCATTACGTAATTATGTAGTAATTATTAAGACTTCAATTAAAACATCAATTGTTTGAAAAGTTTTATGAATGAGTTTTAAACGCGTTTACAATTCACGCGACAATTGTCTGAATTGTTCTCAATTCTAATTTCAATTCTTTTTTCTACTGATTTTCAATGAATTGATTCACAAATTGTTTGATTGGTTCGCAAAACTCATAATCCATTGCTTCAGACATAAGTCGTTCACTAATTTGTGTCCAAAAACAATGTCTTATATCTTAAGGAAAGACTCTTTCGACAGATTTGGCGACGATTTGTGCCAATTATTGGTCTCTTATCTGCCGTTTGAGGACTCGTTTCGGTTTGAATGTGTGTCCAAACAGTGGTCCAGAAGTGTATTCACCAAACAATACAAACTCACAGCCAATGAGAGAGCGCTCAACAAATGGGGGATAAGAAAGGAGTCGACCGGCGATCACATCCATTGGAAAGCATTGGTATCAGTGGTCAGCAAATGTCCATTCATTACATGCCTTCAGATGAAGATTATATGCAACCAATCGGTGGAAGTGTTTGAAATGTTTTTGAATCGATTCAAACGCTTGAAGACAATTAGCGTTTACTTCGGCTCTAAAGAGGACATCGAAAGTGATATTCTCGGCAAATATGGGCCAAAACTGACCGAAATATTTATTCACTGCAAAGCATATGACGTCTATAAGAGTCACACGAAGTCATTGACAAAACTAACCAACATTTCTGGCGCTAATATGATGGACAACGACTCGCGGATCTATTTCGACGCCAACAATGGCTTACCATTAGATTCGTTGACTAAAATTGAGTTCGCGTTTCGCCGGACCGAAGATTTGCAGCGTTTGTCGGCAATTGTCTCCCACTATAGACACCGACTTCTGTCGGTTGACATCAATCTAATTGAAGACAATTCGCTAAACAATCAAACGTTTTGCAACACTTTGAATGAATTGTCAAAACTTCAGTCATTGCGTGAATTGACTCTCGATTTTTACTGTCGTGACGGCATTCAAGTCAATCAGTCCGTCATTAATGGTGTTCAGCGATTGGCCGCCGGGTGTCCGCAACTAAAGCGCTTCCAGTCGTGTATATTCGACATAAAAGGGTCCAAATTTAAGCTATTATTTGAAGCGATGTCTCTATTCAGACATTTGAGAGTTCTTCAGTTTGATCTCATGTCCAGTTCGCTCAAGAGATTGAATTTTCACATAAAATGTGTGCCAAAATGTCGACAATTGATCCAATTATCACTGGACGCCAGCTGTGAGAACGTAACGATTGGCGAATCATTTATGGTCTCAATCGGCGCTAATTTGCCAAAACTTCGGTCATTGAAAATGTCGGCCAATTTAGAGATTAGTCCCCAAAGCGAGCGTTTGATCCAAAAGTTGCAAACTCTCAATGCATTCAAAGACAATCCGGAAACAGATTATTATTATTTGTGAACATTTATTGGATTTATGTTTTGCGCACAAAATTTGTTGTTTGATATTTTAAAGTAACTTTTTCTTAAATGTTTTCAATTTTATGTAGTTTTTATAAGTTTATGTATTATTCACTTTGTTTTAAAACTTTAAATAAAATTTTTTAATTTAGTTTATAAGACTACTAATAAGAAAATTTATACAGTATATTGACATTTATCTAATAATTTAAATCATTTCCTAAATATTGAATACAAATTTTATAAAAATTTTAAATAACAAAACTGATGATAAAAATAACACTTTTCTATACATATAAATAAAATGAAAATTTTTAAAAGGATAAAACTATTGGAAGTGATAACAGGTTTTGCATTCATTCCTTAGTGTCTCTTCTGACGTTGCTCTTCTGATAGCGGTTGTGTTACCGGTGGTTATGACTGTCGCTATAGTGTATACGAAATGATAGTTTGTTTAACTATTGTAAAAGACTTTTCCTTAGCTAAACACTGTTGAGAACTCGGAGTTTGGATCGCCTGCTCCTCCTCTTCCTCCGACTCGACAGCTGCTCAAAGTCGCAGCCGAAGAATGTCCGCAAATTGTGAACCATAACCACCTCTTTCTTGTTGTCGCTCTCCACTGATTGGTACTGAATAAGTGCCACAAGAAATGAAATGTCTTAAAAACATTTATCGCATTGTATTTTACGATCCAATCATTACCTCTGGTTGTATATCGACGGTCTCGTGGAACTGATTGGCGGACATTCGGTAGACCTGATCCTCGTAGACACGAGAGGAATACAAGACCCTTCCGACCACATATGCCTGACCTCTGAGATAAAACATACCGATCAGATTGCCCTGAAAGCAGGTGCCGTACTGCCAGTCCGGGTGCCAACCGTGGCTGAACTTATTTCGCGGCCATTCGTCCATATTGTGGATCATTTTCTTCATATACAGATGTGTTATGCAATACGTGTCGTCGTGTTTGAGACCTGTTGTGGAAAGTGAAAGCAAACGATGAGTTGTTGTCAATCATTTGACACAAATGAGACACAAACCCATGTAAAGGATGTCTTCGTCCGTATCGTAAAGAGCGGCCACATATTCTCGTTGTTTGGGATCCACTGATGGCATGAATTTCTCAATTTGCGGGAAAAACTTGGCGTCCGTCACGTTCTGCTTCTTCTCAAAGCCCAACGGATTCTTAAGCTCAGTGTCCAAACGGATGGTCTCTAACATTATCTTTCCTTACCGTCTGCAAAACAGTTTGTTCTGCCAGTTGGCTAGGGTCGGGACTCGGCTAGCTATCGTGCAGGCCAATTTCAGAAGCCGTCTACACTACGTTAACTAGAGAACCTTGGAGAAGCCATTGAAACGGAGGTATTCGTCGTCGTATCTGCCCTTCATTTTAATTATATTTTCTAAACAATAAAAATTTTATGCCATTAATAGAGATAACAATTGATGCGAAAACATTTGAAAGGTGTGGTCAGACCTCCAAACCAGTGGCGGCCGTAAGCGAAGAGAGTCCAGTCCCGAAGAAAGCCTCCGATTCCGCCATTCATTCGCGGGTCATAGGTGTAGATCTGTCCGCATCTCATGAAGTGAATCAAGTGTCCGATATTGAAGACACTGTCATACGATTTGATGTCGCAAAATGGGAGACCAACTGCTGGTGACATCACTACTGATAATGCGATAATTGCGGTCCAAATAGTCATTTTCATTGTATGTCTTGCGGTTTGAAATGAGATTTAATATCAAAATAAGTTGTATTTCTCATAGAATTCAGTGATCAGTGAAATGACGGCTAATTTTAAATTTCAATATGTATTGAATTTCGCGTGAAATTAATAACAGTTTGATTGAGGTTTTGATTATTTGTCTCCAAATAAAAGTATTATTTAATTGTTTATATTTGTGTGCTTTTTATAATACAGTAATACTTATAATACTTTTGTTTATAATATTTAAACTTTTATTTAATGAATAATTTTTTATACAAAATAAATACAGTAGTGTTCAGTCATTTAATTAGTGAACATTTAAAGAGTTTTGCTGACCGAGCGGTTCGTTTCACTATTTGCTGCGGAAATGACGGGACGACTAATCTCTGAATTCAATTCACCGGTTTGTACAGAACTCGTAGGCTTTTCGTCAGTTTTCAAAGTACTTACATTTCCTAATAATGAATACAATTATTAGAAATAAATATCAAATAATCAGACATTCAATGGAAATCTAGAAATACCTTTAGATCTAAATGAAACGAAAGCAATAATCATCAGAAGAATTAGAAGAAAGAGACCAAACAATACAATAACTGTGATTATTATATATTTTAGCGGTTTTTTATCATTTGGTTCAACGCTTTGTTTGACCGACGAAACGGTCGTCGGATTAGTTATTGGCATTGGCTTTGCTGTCAGACTCGCGTTCATCGACGGTATGTCTGTCGTCGGAGCCGATGGACTAAACTGTTGGCATCGGAAGAACTTTCTAACCGTTTGATTCTTAATGAGAATTCAATTTAAATAAGTTTTTTTCAATTCAAATGCCAAAAGTGGACATCACTTACAAGTGGGATGAGCTCACGTCCGCAAGGGTAGTGAAAGTTGTATATCTGTATCCTGAGCGCGACTGACAGCTCACCTGACAACGGCTACCGCATATGGTATGGAGATAGCTTCTTGTATGGCCACTTCAACTGCAGACTTAACTCAAAAACACTCTTTGTAAAACTCAACGCGAGGTACCAATTGATGTCCGATATGTCGGCCCATATCAGCTCCGATAACTGTTGTTGGCCCACGTGTTGGATGTAATACACTTCATAAGTCTGCGGCCAATAGACACTGTTTCGGGGTTTGTTGGGTTCGTTGAGCCACTCTTTGGGCCAAATGTTGTCAATTGTAGTCTTGTTTAGATTCCACGGAAAGTCGTTGTAACTGACAGTAGAGATAATGCCGTTATTGTCTTTGTAGACAACTGTGAACTCATGTCCGGACGAACTGTGATACCATCTCATGAAAAACAAATCCAATGCTTCTGATATAACCGCACAGTTATTGTTACCGCAATTGGGAACCGTTGACACGTGGAAACTGGTCAGTAGTTCGGCATCTGATTCAAAGGCATCATTATTTAAGTTATTGTTAAATGTATTGCATATTTATTACTTTGGAGATTAGGCTCTTCTTGTGCGCCTAGTAGTTTACAGTATGGTTAGAATAACATACAGGTGTTGGTAGCTGCGCTACTGACTAGAAACCAATATTAAAAATATAATTACGGTATTAACTTTTAGCGAAGTTTTACTTACCATAGTGTAAATTTGGGCCCATTTTGTCCAAAAGCGCTATCATTTATCACAAGACATATCAATAATAAGATCATTAGTTTCTGATTTGAACGCATTTTAAAGACTGCTTTTGAGAGTTAAATATAAACCGAAATTCAAATGAATTAATCTTTTAATGCTTTCAACAATTAGCGCCCATATTAGTGCGCAAAGAGGTATAAAGTAACTTATTTATTGACTAAATTATGTTTATTCTCGTTATATAATTCAAAAGTCACTATAATTTAAAAAACAATAAACCGTTAATTCATTACATAATTATCTCTGAAATCATGTCAGAAACAGAGGCAGAGGTGAAGAAATCGGACGAACAGAATATCTCTATAGAGGAAGAGATTCCTCAGAAAGTGACTGAAAAGGTGTCACCAAAAGCCAAGAACAGTGAAAACGGTTTCAAAAAGTGGTGTCAAAACGCCGACAAAAAACTGAAGGAATGTGTGGCTAAAGTGGTGGCCGAGGGGTTCGCCAAAAGCCAGGACTTGAACGAAGTGTCCGCTTATATCGAGCGTGAGATGAATCGTCAGCGAGACGTGACCTGGCATTGCGTTGTCGGCACTGACTTCGGCACCACTTTCAATGCGGTCATGGGATCAGCCATTGGCTACACATATGAACACAATTTGGTCATTTTATTCAAAGCCCATCCAAAGAAATCAAAGACTGTTAACGATTTCTATGCTAAGCTCAGCTGTTCATCACTTCCCACGACAAAGAATACGTTAACCAAATAGTGGGCTCGTATTCAATGATTTCTATCCTATTTGTAATAAAGGGTTAATTGAAAGAAATAAAACCCATTTTTATAATAGAAATGTATTGAAAAACTAAATAACTGGTTAGAAACTAATAAATGATTATTTGTTTTAATGCGGATCATCAAATGTCATACCAATCTTATTGTATGTCCACAACCATCGACGCGATGACTGATCTTTGGTTATAATTTTTATATTAATGCCATAATTGAAAATCGCTTCAAAATGAATGGTATCACAGAATTTGGGCCCATTTTGTCCAAAAGCGCTATCATTTATCACAAGACATATCAATAATAAGATCATTAGTTTCTGATTTGAACGCATTTTAAAGACTGTATTTGAGAGTTATATATAAACCGAAATTTAAATGAATTATTCTTTTAATGCTTTCAACAATTAGTGCCGATATTAGTGCGCAAAGAGATATAAAACGTAACTTATTTATCAACTAAATTATGTTTATTCTCGTTATATAATTCAAAAGTCACTATAATTTTAAAAAACAATAAACCGTTAATTCATTACAAAATGATATCTGAAATCATGTCAGAAACAGAGGCAGAGGTGAAGAAATCGGACGAACAGAATATGTCTATAGAGGAAGAGATTCCTCAGAAAGTGACTGAAAAGGTGTCACCAAAAGTCAAGAACAGTGAAAATGGTTTCAAAAAGTGGTGTCAAAACGCGGACAAAAAGCTGAAGGAATGTGTGGCTAAAGTGGTGGCCGAGGGGTTCGCCAAAAGCAAGGACTTGAACGAAGTGTCCGCTTATATCGAGCGTGAGATGAATCGTCAGCGAGACGTGACCTGGCATTGCATTGTCGGCAAAGACTTCGGCACCACTTTTAGTGGAGTCAAGGGATCGGCCATTGGTTACACATATGAACACAATTTGGTCATTGTTTTCAAAGCTCATCCAAAAAAATCAAAGACTGTTAACGATTTCTATGCTAAGCTCAGCTGTTCATCACTTCCCGAGACAAACAATACGTTAACCAAATAGTGGGCTCGCATTCAATGATTTCTATCCTATTTGTAATAAAGGGTTAATTGAAAGAAATAAAACCCATTTTTATAATAGAAATGTATTGAAAAACTAAATAACTGGTTAGAAACTAATAAATGATTATTTGTTTTAATTAAATTACAACATAATTGTATTTATTTAAAATACTGAGCGCTGGCCACACATGTGTGTGCATTACAGACGCCAACCCTTGCGGTGAAATCCAACCCCCGAACGATCCTATAAACCACATTCACTGCTGAATTGTGCTTAAAAATACTGTATATTAACAAAACATACGGAATATTTGATAAAACATTTTAAAATATGGTAGAAATATGAATAAATTATTTTTAATCAATAACTGTTAAAGATTTATTAAAAACTTATTTCAAACTTTTTATTTGTTTAAAAATATAATGAAATAATTAAAACAATTTGTTTGAAAAAACTATTTAAAGAAATGGTCGATTGGTTTGACTTTTGACATAAATTCTGATTGAATTCGAGTTGATATCCATTTCGCGAAACTTATTCTTCAGTCTATCAGCCATTTTCTTATCCAATACTAGTTTCAATGGACTTTTTGGGACTCTGAGTTTAACACAATTTTGACAAAACGATACCAATTGATACACATCTTTGTAATACTGGAACAGACAAAGTGTTTTGATATCAACAAAACGACTTAAATAATGACTATTTATGACTTGTAGATCAAAACGGGTGTCTTTTCCAATGAGGTCTAATCGTGTGAGTTGTGGTAATTCTGCCACTCGTTGCAGACAACTGTAGAAACACAGATCGCATTCATTGAAGTTGCTTTCTTCATCGTCCATTTCATTACCGCATTCACATACTATTGTAATTCGTTTAGTCAATGAAAAGCGCCGGACATTTGGCACAATTATGGCCAATAGTGTCCACTCGGATGGACGACAACTGCCACCCGATAGAGCTAATCGCTTCATAGACGGCATCGCTATCATAGAGTTAATGTTTAGACGCATACGAGAGTCAATTTCCAGCCGTTCACAAACTGTCAGTCTAAACAGATTGTCGCGAACTATCTCTTCATCCATACTGAATGTGCTGAACGCAAACTTTTTAAGTGTCATTTGATCGCAGATAGAGATAAACAATTGATTCCAGTTGTGATGAACAGGAAATTCGTATCTAATGTCCAGCGCTTCAAGAGTTGGAGCGCAACGAGTGATGAATGAATTGATGTCATTCATGTCAGCGAAAGCCATTTCAATCATTTCGATTCGCAATCGCTTAACATTTGCGGGAATTGTGTTAAACACTGCTATGGTTTTAATACCTCTACTCATGTCTATACAAAATTCTTGAAGCGATGAATATTGGCTCAAATTCCTCACTATTCTCTCAATATGTTTGACTTTACAGTTAATGAGAGACAATGACTTGAGTCGCGGCCCAAGAAGTTGTGTCCACTCATCGCTAGTACTACTGTCAGAAGAGATAATTTCAATGGAATTCAATGTTAAACTTGAAAGTCGTGGACACAAATGGATGGCCTGAACAATGGTTTGGTAGTCAATGATCGCTTGTTTTAAAATTAAACATTCAGTGAACGAACACATCGTTAGTATTGTAATAAAAGTGTTATGACTGGCCATCACATCGTAACTGTATTTTGTGATCTTTCCTTCGTATAAGTCTTGGAAAATACGATACAAATCATTCAAATCAGACTTTTTTCTAGCAATGGCTTCTGTAATATTGCTGTCGTCGACACCCGACTGACCGACACTTAGCATACGTTTAGCCCTAAGAGCTGTTTCAACACAACTCGCAAACTGTGCTGAAGTTCTCTCCAATCGATACAATTCTCTGACACTAAACTCTCTCAATATATTGATGACAATATCGTCAACCATTACCCTTGAGTTTGTGTCTACTTTGTTCATCATTGGTGGACAATCATCAGTGGATGTGTTCACAGACTTCTCATCAATTCTGTCACTTAATAATTTGTTATCACCGGTGGATCTCTTCTCAGACTTATCCTCGATCTTAGCATTTAATAGTTTGGCTATAATTTAGTGATAAATTGGTTTCAGAAATACATTTTTGCAAAAAAAACAAATCAAACAAACGATACATACGTTGAATGATTTTCTGATTGGATTTGGTGTCAGTTTTGTAGACATTTGTGGTATTCTTGGCATCGGTTGTAGTGTTGGAGTCAATGCCTCCCAAACACCCGCAACACAACACATATTCACAAATCCAACACATTTTGTCTGTATTTTCGTTACCAATGAATTTAATTGATTTGTATTTAATAACAGAATATTCCGTTAATAATTCAAATGCTTGATAACAATGAGTATTAAATCTTAAATTTAATGAAGCAATTAATCTTTATTTTGTTTCTACACTCGTATTAACAATGTATTCATTCCACGAATAAATATTGAAGTAATGAATTTAATGTTGCCTTTACTACAAGACGATAAAAATATTATCAATAAAAACAATTTTCACTTACTTTAAAATCTATTAAAACTTTTCACTTTCTTATATTGATTCGAGTGTTTAAAAAATACTTTAATTAAATTCAATGCAAGGAAATAGAAAATACACCATAAGAATAAACATATGAAATTATGGTATAAATTATGGTATAATTATCGTATAAATTATGGCCAAAATATGAAACTTTTTAATCAAAAACTTTGTAAAATATTTACTAAAAATTTATTTTAATTTCTTAAAAATATAATAAAATAACAAAATTAATTTGTTTAACAAATAACTCTTTAAACATATGACCGAATTTTGTAATTTTTGATAGAAATTCTGATTGAATCGGAGTTGATATCCATTTCGCGAAATTTATTCCTCACGAGATCAGCCATTGTCTCATCCAATACTAGTTTTAATGGACTTCTTGTGACTCTGAGTTGAGAACAATTTTTGCAAAACGATATCAATTGATACACATCTTTGTAATAGTAGAGCAGACAAATTGTTTGGATATCAACAAAACGGCTTAAATAATGACTACTTATGACTTGTAGAGCATGAATGGGATCTTTCCCAATGAGGTCTAAGCGTCTGAGTTGTGGTAATTCTGCCACTCGTTGCAGACAACTGTAGAAACACAGATCGCATTCATTCCAGTCGCGGTCGTCGTCGTCGATATCGTTATCACATTCACAATGTATTGAAATTCGTTTAGTAAATGAAAAGCGCCGGACATTTGGCACAAATGTGGCCAATAGTGTCCACTCTGATGGACGACAACTGCCACCCGATAGAGTTAATCGCTTCACAGACGGCATCGCTATCATTGAATTGATGTTGAGATGCATATGAGAGCCGATTTCCAGCCGTTCACAAACTGTTAGTTTAAACAGATTGTTGACAAATATCTGTCCATTCATACTGAATGTGCTGAACGCAAACTCTTTAAGTGTCATTTGATCGCAGATAGAGATAAACAATTGACTCCAGCGGTGATGACCGGGAAAATCGTATCTAATGTTCAACGCTTCAAGAGTTGGAGCGCAACGAGTGATGAATGAATTGATGCCATTCTTGTCATCGAAAGCCATTTCCATCATTCCTATTCGCAATCGCTTTACATTTGCGGGAATTGTGTTTAACACTGCTATGGTTTCAATACCTCTACTCATGTCTATACAAAATTCTTGAAGCGATGAATATTGGCTCAAATTCCTCACTATTCTCTCTATATGTTTGACTTCACACTTAATGAGAAACAACGACTTGAGTCGCGGCCCAAGAAGTTGTGTCCACTCATCGCTAGTACTACTGTCCGAAGAGATAATTTCAACCGAATTCAATGTTAAACTTGAAAGTCGTGGACACAAATGGATGGCCTGAACAATGGTTTGGTAGTCAACGACCGCTTGTTTTAAAATTAAACATTCAGTGAACGAACACATCGTTAGTATTGTAATAAAAGTGTTATGACTGGCCATCAGATCGTAACTGTATTTCGTAATCTTTCCTTCGTATAAGTCTTGGAAAGTCCGATACAAATCATTCAAAACAGACTCTTTTCGAGCGATGGCTTCTGTAATATTGCTGTCGTCGACACCCGACTGACCGACACTTAGCATACGTTTAGCCCTAAGAGCTGTTTCAACACAACTCGCAAACTGTGCTGAAGTCCTCTCCAATCGATACAATTCTTTGACACTTAACTTATTGAATATATCGATGACAATGTCGTCAACCATTACTCTTGAGTTTGTGTCTACACTGTTATCATCAGTGGATGTGTTTACAGACTTCTCATCAATTCTGTCACTCAATAATTTGTTATCACCGGTGGATGTCTTCTCAGACTTATCGTCGATCTTTGCATTCAATAGTTTGGCTATAATTTAGTGATAAATGATTACAACATTGAATTGATTTGCAGAAAACTAATCAAACGATTCATACGTTGAATGACTTTCTGATTGGATTTGGTGTCAGTTTTGTAGACATTTGTGGTATTCTTGGCATCGGTTGTAGTGTTGGAGTCAATGCCTCCCAAACACCCGCAACACAACACATATTCACAAATCCAACACATTGTCTGTATTTTCGTTACCAATGAATTCAATCGATTGTATTTAATAACAGAATATTCCGGTAATAATTCAAATGTTTGACAACAATTAGTACTAAATCTTAAATTAAATAAAAGAAAGCATTTAATCTTAATTTTGTTTCTATACTCGTATTAACAATGTATTCATTTGATGAATAAATATTAAAGTAATGAATTCAATGTTTCTTTTACCACAACACTATAAAGATATTATCAATAAAAACAAGTTTCACTTACTTTAAAATCTATTAAAACTTTTCACTTTCTTATATTGATTCGAGTGTTTAAACAAGGTTCACACAGCGATGCTATACGTTAACCACAATTCGGGAAATGCATCAAACATTTTAAATTTTTCAATACTATTGTTAGAATACTTTCACTTTTATTATTTTGAGAATTTTAAATGTTTTTGACAACAATTAGTTCTATGTATTATGGCAGATTCGAACGATCCTATAAACCACATTATTCATATCTGAATTGTGGTTAAAAATGTTTTACATTTATTGTACGTTATTTATGCTATAAACGTTATTTTTGATGTGATTTGTCTTTAGTTCTATCTTATGACTTCTCGTTGCAAATAATTTATGTTATGTTAAATGGAGACCAGGCCAGCGAGGCCAGCTTAGCATTAGGGGTGGCCATCGTACTTTACTTTTTGAACCCCCACTGAAATTGTGGTGGGAGGAGTGGCCAGGTTATAAACTCCGGTAATTCCATATATGTTTTAATCGTAGGTAAACTCTCAAAACGGGTTAACATTTGAATCAAATTCTGGTACTTATCGACAGTTTCGGGACTAAAGACTCGGAACCAATCAATAAACTCATACGCCATAAAGTCTACATAATTAATGTGATTACCGGTAAACCACTGACGAGTACCCAAAAACCGGGACAAACTGTCCAATCGTTGGGGCAGTGTTTTTGCAATGTATTCAACTCTTTCAGTGTTATAATCTTCGCTTCTCAAAAGGCCAAAAAACTCAAGCCTAATATCAGTCAACTGTTGTTCCAACAGATCTTGACGTATGATTTCAATCTCGTCTGTGGCCACCAATCCGTGCTTTCGGGCCAAGTATCGCATAATGGCTATGCTCTGGGTTAGTTTTATTGAACCATCCATGTAATATGGTACGTTGGGAAAGTTGAGGTCAATGGTAACTTTTTCTTTAAGCCAACAACCTTTAAATGCCATATTTCTGTGGTATAATCTGTTAATAAATTTTATGTCCTTATACTTCAGCAACAGTCGTATGGGTTGACCTAAACCCCGAAACTTATAATAACCTACAGTAGGGACCGATGTGTCTGACATGTTGTGTATATTTATATACAAGATAAACGTTTATAAATCACTATAACACTGCAAAAATTATATTAACTAATAGCTTGTAAGTTATTAGTTCGTGTTTCACAATTAAATGCTCGATTATTTATATGCTTAATCACATATAATTACAATAGTAAAAATTTTGATAATTGCGCAGTATATTGTCAGCTAAAAAATAATTACTTCATGATTAACATTATAATTCTTAGTACTGTTATACTATTATTAAAGCAATATCCATATTCATAGCTTGAACATGCATACATCGACGGCTTACTGCCGTCGATCAGCCATTAGCCCGAAAAATGTCCCCGCTCTCTTTCTATTGTCTTAAATCACTACCACATCGGCATTAATACAATTATCTTTCTGGTAAGTCTTACGTGGCCCTCGTAATCATTTAATTCTACATAAGGACAATTTATAAAGTTAAGGGCGGCAAATAAGTCAACCTCGTTTAATAGTCGGTTCTAAATTGATTGTTACAATAGAAATAATATCATTGTAAAGTATTATTTTTATAAAGGCATTTATTTAGGCCTTTATTTAGGCAATACTTTCGATACTAACAAATAATTATTTATCTATTTTTAAATCTTTATATTATTTGACAAGTGCGTTAATTATAGCAATAAAATATGTTCATATATATCTAACCAATTGTTCGCATCAATGTTAGCAACATTTCAACATATTCTTGACATTTAAATCTCATAAATTTAATAATACTCCAAAAGTAATTATTTATTTTTATGACATTAGGAATTCATGCAATCAAATCCCATATAAAAGGTTACTTTCAAATCATGAATAATTGGCAAATTATTTAATAAATTTATATTTTTATGGACTATTAATTTTATAACGAGTGATATAACATTTCCGTGACATTTCAGACACAGAATATTATATTTATAATTTGGAAATCATAACATATTAATTGCAAACTTATTATTTTTTCATATAGTTCTCATTCATCAATCAGAAAAAGGATTGTATTTTAAACAGGTTTATACAACTATGTAATTACACACATTAATTAATTTGAAATAAATAAATAAATATAAAAGTAAACGAATTTAAAATGATGAATTAAAGTTATTATAACTTTATAATACATTATTTACTAAAATAGCTTGAGTTTGGAAATTATTAAAAATTATTTATAATTAAACTTAAGATCTTTAGTTATTTAAATTAATAATAATAAATTAATGGAAATAACCACCATTTACGTGTTTCTGGCAATCGTGCTATTTTGTATATTTTTCTACTCACTGCTCGCATTGATAATCATTTACTGTAAGTTTTAATATTTGTTATAATAAAAAAATAAAAATTGCAATTAATAGGTAAAAATTGGGAGGCGTTGAAAGATTACTGTCCGACACAAGAGATGGATATTATAAACCCTTTTCCATACTATTATAATCCCATCTCAATTTAAATTGATAGTAATTTTGCAGAACAATATCCTTAGAAACAGTGTATTTTGGTATATAATATATTATGTATTGACAATATAATTATATATTTATAGCAATTATTAACTTATTTTGGAATTGTAATTAAGTTTCATAAGACTGTGACCCTTAGTTTTATTTACTTCAGCATTAAATGTCCAAATTTACCCGGTTCACTCTGTTCATGTTTTACTATATACTATAATTATCAATAAATTATTTCTTTTTGGCAAACATTTTGCCCAACGTGTGTGTGTCAGGTGTGGGCGCCGACTGCTGTCCGCCCATAATCTCCAAAATGTATTCATATTTTGCGGCAAAATATTCAAAGAAAAAGCGGCACTCGTTTTGCCGGATGTGTGACAACACGTGCCGACAATTGGCATCATTTGCCACATAATACTCGTCTATAGACCACTCGCACTGAGAGAGAGAGAGAGAGAGAGAGAGAGAGAGAATATGCATACTATTAATAATATATTAAATAAATATAAAATAAAATATTCATTTAAAATGCAATATTCTCAGTAATCAACGAAATGAATGAATAAATATCAAAATAAAAATATTATTAATTTAATTGAGAGCTAAGAATAAACATGATATTTTTAGTTTCAATATTTAATGTAATCCTATATAAAGCGTAGCTTAAAATAAAATTTAATTATATTAATTGAATATATGCTCAAATAATATTTACATAATTAAAAATATTACACTATTTTATAATTATAAAGTGAGATATACTGTACATAATTGTATACATATTTATATAATTTATAATTATATGTAATTTATATTTATTAGTTCAATATTATCTAGATATTATATAAATGTTATACACAACAGCACTTTTATATAGTTTCTATACAGGACTGGTATAACACAATGTATACGAATCGGAAACAGCAGTCTATCACTGGGTTTTCAGCCCATTAGAGCACTTAAGCAACAAAACTAATGTGCCATCTCTTCCATCCCTTTAATGTCTGTACAATTTATTTGTTTGTATACAACAGTCAGTGGTGTTGTGTATACAATACCAGCGCTAATATAATATATACCATACAATCGCCACCAAAAACCTATCGGTGCCGCACACGGACTCCAGTGGCGGATCACCTATTGATTGTATGTTGCCATTTAGCATGCACGTTTGACCAAGGTCATTTGGGCCCAACTAACCACCACCACCACTACCACCATAACTACCGACATCAGCTAAATTTTTATTGGTGATATACATCCATATCCAACGGCACTCGTAGGTTATCCCAAAGTCGTTGGGTTATTGATGTTAAATATTGTCATAGAGAATATATAAAATTGCACATGTATGTTTATACTAAATTTATAAAGATAAATATTAAAGTAGAACAATAACGATAACTTTAATATTGATCTTTATAATGTACGGCACATGTTGTTATTCTTTAACCATAATGTAATGGCAAATATTTAGCACGTTTGTTATTGACATTCAATTAAATAATGAAGTAAATAGTTAATAGTAAAAATAAATGCCAACAGTGTCATTTTCATTGTCCGTGTGTATAAACATTATATAAATAGCCCATTAAACTAAACATGTTATATTTAATGTATTTATTGTGAAATACTATTGAATTGTAATTGTAATGAGTATTAGTAATACTGTATTATATAAAATAAAACTTTTATTTTTAAATGCAATTATTATATTATAAACAGATTTTTTTTGTAACAGAAAAATAAAGAATAAAGAAAAATAAAAACACATTAAGTGTTTTATATGTGGTATTTCAGCAATTTTCGTCTCTCTCTCTCTCTCTCTCTCTCTCTCTCTCTCGCTGTTTGACTTATCAGTGAAATAATCTTAAACACTAGAGAACCGGTCAAAGAGATTGAATGAAAATGTTTTAAAGAGAGAGCAGTTTCGGTCACTTCAAAAGCTCTCTCTCTCTCTCTCTCTCTCTCTCTCTCTCTTTACTCTTTTTCGTCTCTCTATTTATTTAATGAGTACACGAAAGACGGACTCCAGTGAAGTAAAAACAGTATTAATTTTCACTAGAAATTAACAACAGAATTATATTTCGAGATACCCTTTAAAGCTCTTGAATATAATGAGAATTAAATTAATGTATATTTATATTTAAAATGTAATTAAAAAACATGTATTCATATTTAAAATTATAGTTTCAATGATGGCATAAATAAAAACATTGTACTTAATTTGATTAAAATATTCAAGCATGCGATCTATGTTAATTTGTTTGGCACGGTTGCTGCCGTTGTGTGAGTGTTTACCCAGTATATAAACATGGTTGATTTAGGAGTGTATGTTATGGTAGGCACAGTTACTTTCATACTATTCTAATACCATTTATATTTTTTAAGACACTCTTCACTAATGGCTCTAATGAGTAAATATCTTAATTAAGAAGTAATTGCTTTGAATTCAATGAATGCTTGAGAGGAGAGAGAGAGAGAGAGAGAGAGAGAGAGAGAGTCTCTCTCTCTCTCTCTCTCCATTCTTTCCATTGAATTGAATAATAAAAGTTGTGTTGAAAATTGGGTTTTCTGCGATAATGTATTAAATAGTATTAAGGGATTGCTTTAGAGATCGACAGACAATACAAAATTTGAATAAATTTGTATTTTTTATACATAAAGTCTATAATTCTCTCCCACTTTCTACCAGTATTTCAATTCATTTAATTCAGTCATTCATTCACTAAATATATAGAGGAGAGGGTCTGTAAAGTGTATTATTATATACACTATAAAAACTCCGGTTTTGTACAGTCGGACAGATATACTGTATATAAGAAATTAATGACAAAAAATAATGTTATTATACAATAAAAGAGTGAATATATTTTTTCTCACTCTTGTGTTTGAATATAAAAAATTGTATTTATATTTTTGTGACACAATATAAGAAATTAATTATTTCTGTGCATTTTATTTGTATTCAATTATATTAGTATAATGTAGTAATGGGCGTCCCCCTAGCGGCGTTCAATTAAAATTCTTTATTTAATTTTCATACAGTGTACTGTATAAATTATATATCGATTAGGCCCCACACAATGTATGAAACTGAACAAGGTTAATGAAAGTGGAACGCGTTCCACAAACGCCCATTCCAAGTATAATGTGTCAAAAAAGGATAATTGTTTAAAATAAATAACAATATTTTATTTGTTTAAAAATATGAATATAAAAAATTATAAGGGTTTGGCATTCAGACAAAATTAAATTTACATATATTTTTATCGCTATTCTTGTGGCTAAAAATAAAGTGGCTTTATATTACTTTATATACTAGTTATTTATCAGATATAAATGTATTTGAAATATTTTTTGCTGTCATTTAATACATATGCGAATAAATATATACTTTATTTTTATACTCATATTATTGATGAATGAAAGCATCATTTTTTGAGTTCACGTTTTCCTCATCGACTCTCTCTCTCTCTCAAAATCACAAATATTTAGTTATATAACTCGACAACAAAAATAGAAATTCAAATATACAGCAAAAATATGAATTTTCTCTCTCTTTGTATACATATTATTACAAAAAAGGTATCAAATCTCCGCTCAATAAACACACAAATATATACTGTATTTACGAGAAAAATGCTTTCAATTCTTAGGCAATGAATACATGAAAACGAAATTTTATAAAAGAAACAAAAATTATATATAAGTTTATATATAATATAGCCGTCTATACA